ACACACACACACACACACACACACACACGCACACAGCACAGCACGTACCAAGCAGACATAGCATGCACACACACACGTACGCACAGAGGCACACAGCACACACACACACACACATATGTAACACACACACAGCGCGTCACGTGCCAAGTAGATACCGCATGTAGATGCACAAGCCACACATCCCTCGTTCAAAGCAAGGTTCTCACTTACGGAGAGGAAGCACCCTTGAATCAAGTCCTGGCACGCTGTCTGTTCCTGGAGCACGGAGATGTTGGTGTTGTGTTGGTTTCTGCCCGTCCCGGTGTCTGCGTTGCCGCTTCCGCTTGCTGCAAATGTCCTCATTGTCACAAACGTGACGGGCACCGCAATTGCGGACGCGAGGAGAACCACCAGCAGGGCAAAGAGACACAAACTCATGCGCCGTTGCAGGCACGTGTGTCGCCTCTCCATGTTCGTGGCAGCTTCTTGTTGCTCTGCATCGTGGTCCACTCGATATGGGTGGGCATCGGGGCTGCTTACTTTGCGCAGGTCTCCCATGACCCTGTGACTCGCTGCGGCCTCCTGTCAGCGGATCTCGACGTCTCAATCGGTGTTGCTGAGGATGCCGCGGTGAAAACGCAACGCGTGGTTTCCGCAAGCTTGGCGTTGAAGAGCTGCCATGGTCAAAGAACGCTTCCAGCCGCCGGGATGGCTCGCTTGTGATGTCGTACTGGGCACACTCATTGCCGATCCAGAGGCACCCCTCGAGCCAGCAGTCACCGGGTGTTGCCGAACCAGCGAGCGAGGGCACGAGGTTGCGGAACCACTCAAGCGCCAATCAACCAACAACCACTGACGACAGGACGACGGTTTGCGCATGTCATCATTTCAAGGGACTGTTGTTGAATGCAATTTGCGCTTGCTGCCGTTTTGGAAGAAGGAGAAACAACTCCTCACAGACAGCGATGACATCATGACGGCAACGCGTGCGCACAGCGAAGATGACAAAATGAAAAACACACACGCACGCACACAGCACACCACAGAGCATGGCTGCCACACTTGCAGACCCACACCATAGGAAGAGGGATCATCCGCAACAGCAAAATGCGCTGCTGGCGGGTCAAAGATGAGGAACACCAGCAAAACATGCCAACCAAGAAGCACAGGCGAACCACCCACAAAACACACGTCAAGAGAACGAAGTCATAAGGAGCGACGGCTGATGAAGTCAGGACGCTGTCTCAAATGCACACACACACACACACACACACACACACAGACGCACACACAATGCCCATGGCAGTCAAAACACCCGTCAGACAGAGGAAGTGGGTTCATTCGCCGGACGAAAAGGCCTGTGTTGGCGTTTGCTGCTTGCGCTGCTTCTTTTGCTCTGCAACCTTTGCGCTGTCCATGAACTGCAATCAAGTTGGGACGTGTGGACAACGCACACATGCGTGAGTGGGTTGTGTCGAGAAGATCACAAATGCATGACAATGTGTGTCGGGGTGCATTGAAAGGAGCGAGAGAGTGGAGAAAGAAATGGGTTTGTGATCAATCAACCAAAGCCACTTGAGTCGCCCCCGTGAGCACAAGCAGCAGGATGTAGTCAAAACACCCATGTGTTTCATACACACACACACACACACACACACACCAACCTTGAGCAAGTTGGTGCTGGCGTAGAGCGGACGGGAGACGGAGCCGTCGTTGCGTTCGGAATCCTCCGCGAAGCACAGGAAGACCGTGTCAATGGTCATCTGTTGGCAGATGGCGGGTGGTGGAGGAGGCATGCACGATGTGAGTACGGGCGACGAGCGAGGGTTGGCTCCTTGGCGGAGGAAAGACTTGTGGAAGCGCAGCAAGGGAGAAAGGGAGAAGGGGAGAAAGGGAGAAGGGGCAAAACGGAAACGAGAGGCGCGGCGAAGTGCACAAGGCAACGCAAGAGCGTCACGCAAGAGCGTCACGCAAGCGCATTGGGTGACCTGGCCCCACGAATGAGGAAGAACGCACGTCATAGACGCCGGTGAAGATGGTGGAGATGATCCAGGCGACGATGCACACGACGAACACAGGCACGGCCGGATAGGTCAGGTTGAGCGTTTGCTGTGGAAGCAAAAGAGTTCCGGGGGGAAGGGTTGTTGTTGTTGTTGTTGTTGTTGTTGTTGTTGTTGTTGTTGTTGTTGTTGTTGGTGGTGGTGGTGGTGGTGTTACGTGTGAGTGTGTGTGTGTTGGAAACGGAGTGAGCGTGATGATGGTTGTGGCACTGGGAACGAGTTCACATGGGCATACAGCAGGTGCGCAAAACTGGATGGTTGTGGCCTGCGACAAGAACAAGAACAACAAGAACAAGAACAAGAACAAGAACAACAACAAGAACAAGAACAAGAACAAGAACAACAACAAGAACAAGAACAAGAACAACAACAACAACAACAACAACAACAACAGCAGCAGCAGCAGCAGCAGCAGCAGCAGCAGCAGCAGCAGCAGAAGCGCACCTCGAACCAGTAGAGCGAGCCAAAGCCAACGGAGGCGACAACAACCAGCTTGCTGAGCAGCAGCACAAACGAGCCAACAGAGTTGATGGTGGCGACACGAAGGGCGTTGCGGAGAAGCGTGCTGAACGCCTCGCGGGCACCTGGCGCAAGCATCAGCGGATAGCAATGATGTCGACAATGGCAATATTGAACATGAGATGGTGAGAAATAACACATGCAGCAACTGACACGATGAAGCATGGGACACGCTGTGAAGGGACAGCAAAAGACGCGCCAGCACCCTGGCACGCACGCCGACTCACCCTTGCAGAAGGAGTAGCCGTAGATGGCAATCTCGATGTAGGCGTTGCGGTTGATGTACTTGAGCACTTTCTCCATGCACCACAGGCAGCACGAGCAGCACTTGAGCAGGATGTCAACAACAGGGCCAGACCGCCCCTGCAGCCTGGTGTGGCAGTTGGTCAGGTGCGAGTGCGAGCGCGATTGTGTGAGCGTGTGAGTGCGTTTGTGTGAGAATGTGAGTGTGAGAGCGTGAGAGCGCGAGAGCGTGAGTGTGAGTGTGAGAGTGTGAGTGCGTGAGTGTGAGATGATACACATGTGTGCACGTGCGCAGTTACATGTGTATGTATGCATGTGTGCGTGCGTGTTGAGCGCTTCACATCCAAAACACGGCGACACGTTCAACCACATGCCTCAAAAAATATTTGGGACCCCCCCCCCCACAGACACAGACACACAGACACAGACACAGACACAGACACAGACACACACACGCACATCCATATCATGGGTAGTATCGTACTTTGCCTGAACGTATGCGAGGATGATGCGTGCAAGCTGCACGAGTGCGATAATCATGGCGCCGAGAGCAAGCGAGCCCAGATGGTACCTAACACGAATGCAAACGGCGGTGGCGGTAGGAGGTGGTGGGGGGATGAGGACAAGGAAGAGAGACGACGAGGGGGAGGGGGACAAGGGGTAGGATATCACAGGACATGGAATCCTTTGTGAAGCATAAACACGCACGCGCACACTTTGAAACAACACACACACACACTCAATGCACACACACACACACACACACACACACACACTCAATGCACACACACACACACACACACACAAACGCACCTGAAAGCGTTCTTCAGGGAAGCAAAGATTGGCCAGCCAAGATCGGACTTGTTGGACGAGAAATACCAGCGGGACACGGCGCCGGCGAGCGTAAACTCTTGGATGGCAAACGCGAGCTGCACGGGTGGTTCGTGTGTACGCGAGTATGGGAGGGGCGTGAGTTCATTTTGACCATAAGTATTGATGATGGGTCTACACTACATACACGCGCCAATATATCTCATTCAAAACAAAAGCATACACACAAGCACGCACACACACGCATGCGCACACACACACACACAAGCACGCACACACACGCATGCGCGCGCACACACACACACACACATGGACGCACCTGAACGGCCCAGAGGAAACCAAACACGTGGTACCACTGCATGTAGACGAGGGTGTTGTTGCTCTTGTACGAGACGTGACCAATTGCCGTCGCCTCCGCTGTGCCAGCGGTGTACAGGAACACATACACGCCGACAAAGTACGCAATGTCCAGCATGACAATCACGAACGTCTGCATGCATGTGCGTGTATTGTGTGTTCGTGTATTGTGTGTGCGTGTATGTTGTGTGTATGTGTGTGTGTGTATTTTGTGTGTATGTGTGTGCGGTAAGCTGACGGTGATCAAAGCAGACAGCACTCAAGAGCACACTCAGGCGCTCGTTCAAACTTCAAACAACCACAGGATTGTCATCACATGCAAGCGCACAAAGCCACACACAAAGGAGCAGACCCGTAATGAAGGCAAAAGCAAGCAGACATACACATGCAAACCCAAGCACGCTCACGCACACACAAGCAGACATACACACGCAAATACAAGCACACACACATGCAGCCAGAGCGTGTGCGAACCGAAAAGGGGAAGAGGAGCATGGCGGGCATTTTTCGGATGGCGCGTCCGGCCTCTTTGAAGAGCGCGACCAGAAGTGCAAGGCGTGACCGCAGCACAAGCAGAATCAGAAGGATGATCCCCTGAACATGTGTGGGTGTGCATGTGTGTTGTTTTGCGTGTGCGTGTACGTGCGTATCGTACAGGTGAGCACATTTGCATTCACATGTGTTTGTGTGTGTGCATGAGTGGAGCACACGCAGTTTCACGCCGCACCCGTTCCAGTTGCAGGGCACACACAAACACACGTACACACACGTACACACACGTACACACACGTACACACACACACACACGTACACACGTACACACGCGCACACACCCCCCTCTCTCTCTCTCTCTGTATGTATCTCTCTTTGCACACTCACGCAGACGATGGAGACGACGATACCGCCGTTGAAGTAGAAGTTGACGTTGTCCTTCTCGCTCTGCAGCCGCTGTGACACGGGCGTGTCGTTGTACGCCTGGTCAAGCTCGTGCCACCGGTACCACATGTACGCAATCGCCCCTGCCAACACAACGATACGAAGACACATGAGCATGCGGTGATGGTGTTGGTGGTGATGGCATGACCGAACGTGAGAGGAGACGAGCAACAGCAATCCGCAGCAGAGTCCAGCGGCCGCGTGTGTCTACAAAACACACACGCACATACACACATACACACCACACGCTGACACACAGACAGGCAGACAGACACACAGACAAACAAACAGACAAACACACACACACATACCACGCGTACCTACAGCACACAACACAGATGAGCAGGTACACACCGATGCAGCAGACGAAGGAGAGGACGTAGGTGACCCAGATGAGGATGGATGCGAAGCAGCTCATGAGGAGGATCATGAGGAGCGCTATGAACACGGCGACGAGGCAGAGGTACAGCATGGGTCGCCAGGCCTGGTCAAGGTCGTCGACAACCTGCGACACCACCTCGCCGTCCTGGAAGTAGGAGCTGGCGGCAAACGTGGACAGGTCAACGGCCACGCAGCGCGACAGCACAGACACGTAGCTGCACACGGGGGGGGGCGCATGGGTTGGTGATGGTGGCGGCAGCGGTGGTGAGTATTGATGTGAGTAAGCTGCGTCGACCAGTCAGTGGCTGTAAGTTACGTATGCGCCTACAAACACAAACACACACACGCACACACATAACAGAGGCACAGAAATACCGACACAAATGCACAAACGCACACGCTACCCGCACACATTTGCATTAGCATTTGGTTTCCACACCTGCTTGCGTCTGTAGTCGGGCAGCCACTAGCATCAATGTTGAAATCTGCGTCGCTGACCTTGCCCTCATCAGCGGAGAGGAACGTGTACGGCGCTTCGCTCACACAGTACTCGCTGCTGCTGAAGTCCGTGGTCACTTCGGGGCACGCGGACACGCACAGGCGCAGGGCATCCGAGTTGCCAGAGTTGTAGAAGAACACAAAGCTGGAGTGGATGCAAGTTGAAGTGGGAAGGCGATGGAGGAGAAAGGGTTGAAATAATGAGGACTGGATGAGAACAGCACGACGAGCAATCATAAACTTGAGGAGAGGAGTTAGTTGGAGACGCTCAAACTGTAAGTCTGCACATGCACAGAGAGAGAGAGAGAGAGAGAGAGAGAGAGAGAGAGAGAGAGAGAGAGAAAGAGAGAGAGAGAGAGAGAGAGAGAGAGAGAGAGAGAGACAGAGAGAGAGACAGAGAGAGAGAGAGAGAGAGAGAGAGAGAGAGAGAGAGAGAGACAGAGAGAGAGAGAGAGAGAGAGAGAGAGAGAGAGAGAGAGAGAGAGAGAGAGAGAGACAGAGACACACACAGACACACACAAGCTGCACAGCCTGGTACCACTCACGAGCGGTTCGTCATGTCCAGGCCCGAGTTCGTGCTGTTGATGACCTGGTTGGAGTTGTTCCTGCCACACACGTTTCCAAAGCTGTCGCATGGAACAAGGTGAGCAAGATAGTGAGAGAGAGAGAGACACTGTGTGTGTGCATACGCATGTGAGGGCGTGTGTTTGTTTGCATCGCAGACGAAAAAAGCACAGTGGTGTGGATTGCGTCAACATATTTGGCACGGTCGCAGCTCACCTGTCGGTACCGGAGATGAGGCGCTCTGGATCGCCTTCGGTGTAGGCCACGTAAGCGATGCCAATCTAATCGAATAGTGCGAGATTGGGGGCGCACGGTGTCAGTGGGATGCAAGGCGAAGGCAACTGACTCAAACGAAAACACAAATACACGACAACCGCCATGCACACACACACACAAGACACACAAGACACACAAGACACACACACACACAAGACACACACACACACACACACAGGTAACTCACCATGCCTGCCCAGAAGGCGAGGAAGAGGGCGAGAAAAAGAATGTCGGTGCAGGATCGCTTCTTGTATGGGCCGGGCGTGGTTGCCCGGGGCTGTCCAGCAGGCTCAACGCTGGACCCGCCACCACCACAGCAGCCCATGGTTGCTTGCTCTTTGGTCGCAAAGCGTCAAAAGACGACGATGTGTGTGCGTGCGTGTGCCTGTTGCCTTTGGTGTATGACTCGGCTCGTCGCGGAATGGGACGGAACGCTCACTTGACACGCCAACAACGACAATAGACCAGCTGGCTCAAGGCGGTCCTGAGCAAGCAAGAACGAACGCAGGAGAAGGCAGAGACGACACGGAGAAGAGATCGATGTGAGTGAGGAATGAAAGTACATGATGTGAGGCTGTCAATCAATCCACCCCTTATCCAGCCGGCCTTCCCAACGCACCTCAGCACACCGTCACCACCACCCACAACAACAACAACAACAACAGCACGTCTCGTGGGTGCTGCAAGAAGCAGAGGACCGTCAACAACACACCTTCTTTTCGTTCGTCAGCGTTGGTGTTTGGGTTGGCAGGGAGAAAATTAACGGAAATCTTACATAATTGTCACAACTGCTGGTGGGAAGAAGGACAACCCACGATGGGGGGTGACGACGACACTCGCACTGGTGGTGCTGGTGGTGGTGGTGGTGGTGGACGTGCGGCGTTGTGGGCACATGCCGTCAATTCCAAGGCCCAGCTCGAGGCTGCGCTCGCCCAAGGCATCGTGTGCATCGAGGTGACATGAGTGCACATGTGCCTGTTTATGTGTGTGTGTGTGTGTGTGTGGAAACTTACTTACTGTGTGTGTACTGGGTGAGTTTGTGTGTGTTGTGGGTGTGTGAGAGCGTGTTGTGTGTTGTGTTGTGTCAGTCTGTATGCAGCAGTGTGTGTCTGTGCGCACCCTTCTTGCTTGCTTGTGTTTGCGAAATGTTATTGTTATATGTTCATGCATTTCCTACCAGCCAGCCCCACCAGCTCCACCACCCACTGTCCTCCTCAACCACTGACAGTTGTGCCACGTCCCTCTCTTCCTGCATCAAGGCTGATGTGCTGCTGTCTGAGGGGAATGTGCCCATTTTGGCCCATCCTCCCGAACGCACGTCGGACATCACCGTTGAGGACCTTTTGCAGGCATTGGTGGCACACGAGCCACCCCAGCAGAGCCACCAGAAGATCGTCAAGCTCGACTTCAAGGATCCGGCTGTCGTTCAACCCAGCTTGAACCTCCTCGACAAATTTACAGGTACACAACGCCAGCTGCGCAATTATGCTCACTGTTTTGCCTGCCGTCTGTCTGCAGCTGTACGCAAGGCACGGCATACCACGTGCAAGCACACTCCGTTGCTTTTCCTCTTCGCCCATGCCTTCGTTTCCCCAGTCTTTGTTTCCACAACCCTGTGTCGCGCAGTCTCACTCATGACTTTCATCGTGTACCCGCCATGGCCGCAGCGTCCCTCTCCACTTGGGAGGTCTGGCTCAATGCAGACATCCTCAAGGGGCCAGGTGAGCGGATGCACCTGTAACATGTCGCACGCAATGCATCTGCTTTCAGCCCAGCGATTAATTGTTGTTGCTCACAGTGAGCTTTGTTCGTTGTTTCGGCGCACAGGCGGTGCCGCCCCGCTCTTTGATGCTGACGCATTTGTTAGCCAGTGCAAGCACCACGGCACACTGTCGCTCGGCTGGACAACCTCCATGTACACATTCAACTTTGCCTACACAATGGTCATGGCAACTGAAGTGCGTGCACGACCACCCGTGCGGCATGTATGTGTGTGTGTGTGTGTGTGTGTGTGTGTGTGTGTGTGTGTGTGTGTGTGTGTGTGTGTGTGTGTGTGTGTGTGTGTGTGTGTGTGGAGCTCACTTCTCTTCTCACCCACATCTGCGCAACTTTTTCTTCAGATGATCGAGTTGTGTCAAGCACATGAGCTGCCCACCCCGCCAACGTTTGCCATGTCCGCTTGCTGCGCACGCGAATCTCCCCACGCCATCGCCGCCCTCATGCGTCACGTCCACAACGCCACCATCACCCTCTGGGGCCTCGTCGATGACCCCGTACGCGCGTTGGCCTGAATCTTCCTCTGTGTGTTTGTGCGTGTTTGTTTGTGTGTGCGTGTGTGCATGTGTTTGTTTGTGTATTTGTGTTTGTGGTCACCATGTGTGTGTGTGTGTGTGTTGTGTGTGTGGTCATCATGTGAGTGTAGTTTTTGCACGATTTGAATTGTCTTGCCACCCTGATTCCTGTCACCACACCTGTGCTTCCTGTCCCTCCACTGTCCATCCATGCAGCTCCAAACCTGGGCCAACTCCTTGGCACAGCGATACTGCGGGCACGTGTACATTGATTGCTTGCAGGCACCATTCACGCGACGGGCGGCGTATGCTGTCTTGCGCGCCCTTGGCGTCTTGACGTCCCACGACACGGCCAATGCTGATGGTGACGATGATGGTGATCGTGATGGTGATCGCTGTGGTGCTTATCGTGGTAGTCGAGCACGGCATGCCAGCTGACTGGGTGAGTGCTGGGTGAGTGTTGGGAGAGTATGCGTTTGTCGATGGTGTTTATTTGAAGCGCAAGGTGCCGCTTGCAGCAAAACAACACAGGCTAGGTAAACAATTGTCATCAATTCACGTCACATCGTACAGATCGTACGACAGAGACGCAGCGCAACATGACAACACAACACAACAACGAAACACACATACACAGCACGGAAGGAAAGTGCACCCCACAACACACTCTGCAAATCACCGCCACTCCGCCGTCCAATCCCCAAACCCTACAACACAACTTGCCACCACCCTTCGCAAACACCATCACCACAACGCCACCCCATGGCCTTTCCCTTCCCCGCACTTCTACTTGCGCCTGGACTTGCCCTTTGGCTTTGGTTCGTTGGGGTTGCGGCGGCCGTAACCGGGCACGGGCTTGCGGTTGACAGCGCGACGGGAGGGGGCGTTGCTCGTGCCAAACGGAGACAGGTGCTCGAGGAAATCGTCGCTGAACACGTCCACGACCTTCTTCTGCAGTTGCGTCCAGTGTTGCATGCAGGCACAAGGGAAGAGGCGGGGGCGGAGGTTGGAGGGAAAGAGAGGGTGAGCCGAAGATTAAGGTATTTGTGTGTGCGTGTGTTTGTGTGCGTGTGTGCGTGCGTGTGTGTCTGTGTGTGAATGAGGCAGAGAACTGTGGACACAAAGCATCACCAGCATGTCATTCACATTACAATTGTCACTGCAGTAGCCACGTCGACACACGCACACACACACGCTCCACACACACACACACACTACACACACACACACACGCACACACACTACACACACACACGCACGCACACACACACACACACACACACACACACACACTGGCAGACCACTCACTCGTGGGGCAGGGAGGCTAGCAACTCGGGCCTGTTGGTCCTCTGTGAGGATGAGGTTCTTCCTCCGGTCGCGTCCGCCCTTTGGCATCGGCACAGAGTACTTTGTGCCCTTGAGGTTCACGCGCTTCACGCGAGGTTCAAAGACTTTCACCTGGCCCCGCTTGTCCACAGCAGCAGACACGCGCTGCAAGGTTGGGTGGCCGCACGACTGACAAAAGTCGCGGTTGGTCTGAGTAGTGACAGCAAAGCACGCCTCGCACTTGAGCACGTGGTAGCGCAGGCGGTGGACCAGAAGTCCGTCCAGTGACATGAGCCGCAGTCCTTTCTGCAGCAGCACATTCTGCATCGCAAAATCCGTCGTCATGCACGCAACCTGGTTGTTGTTGTTGTTGTTTAAGTTGTTGTTGTTGTTGTTTAAGTTGTAGTTGTTGTTGTTTAAGTTGTTGTTGTTGTTATTTAAGTTGTAGTTGTTGTTGTTTGTGGTTGGTGTTGTTGTTTGTTGTTGTTGTTGTTGTTGTTGTTTGTGGTTGGTGTTGTTGTTTGTTGTTGTTGTTGTTGTTGTTGTTTGTGGTTGGTGTTGTTGATTGTGGTTGGTGTTGTTTGTGGTTGGTGGTGGTGTGTGCATGTCAGTTTGAGTCGACGGTGTGATCTGATCTCCTCTCAGACAGCATATGTGCAGTCATCGTGGCGTGCCTGCAAGCACACCCCCTCCCAAGCCATCACCAATGCTTCCCGTACCTTTGAGAATGCATACTTGTCGACATTTTCCTTCTTCATCTTCTTCACCACCTTCGGCATGTTGGCGGGCGTGATCCAGCCGTCGCTACCATCCGCTGTCCCTGTGACACACGCACACATACACATATGCACGATCAAGTGGGCGTCAATGCGAGTATGATGTGTTGTGTGAGTTAGAGAGCGTGTGTTTGAGAGAAAGAGAGAGAGCACATGGGTGCAGGAGGAAGGAGACAGGGGCACTTTTGCCATTGGCCAACAGTCATGAGCAATCATTTGTGCGTGTGCACCTGTGGCTGAGAAGAACTTTGCGTCTCTCCGGATTTGCGCCTCTGTCAAATCACACACAGTCATGTCAGTACATGCGCAGAAGAGAGCAATATGCGAACGGGCGGGACAGCACGCATCCCACCGCCACCAGCAGCAGCAATAACAAAAGTAGCAAGGCCACAGTGTCGTCATTGCACGCGTGTTATTCTATTCGTGTGCATTCCGGCAGGCATATAGTCACGCGAGCGAATGGAGCACATGATGCTTGCATGCATGATTAGGGGGCGTATCACCTTTCCTGCGCCGGGCCGCCTCTGTCATCTTCTGCTCACCATCAGCGAACAAACAGACACATACACATATATGATGATGAAAGGGTTAAAGACGAAACAGAGTGAGTACATGAACATATGCACTTCATTACACACATACACACACGCACGCACGCACACACACACACACACACACACACACACACACACACACACACAAAAGCGCATCACAAACCTTGGACTTTGTCGGGGCAACCTGCCACTCCGCGTCGTCATCGTCGTCACCATCAGATGGTAGTTGCTCGAGCGTGTGACCATCTGCTGTTGCTACGTTGTCCTCGTCCGCAACTGCACCGTGCTCATCATCCTGCTCGTCATCATCATCATCGTCCACTTCAACTTTCACCTCTTCCTCGTTTGATGCCTCATTGTCTCCCGCGTTGTTGTCCCCTTCTTCTTCTTCTTCTTCTTCTTCCGCGTCTTCGTCTTCGTCTCCTTCCTCGCCATTGCCATTGTCATCGCCGCTAACAGCGGCAACAGCTTGCTCATCGTCCTTGTTCGCCACCTCGCTTGTTGCTCCCTCTTCCTGCTCCTCTTGCTTGTCCTCTTTCTGCTCGACCTCTTCCTTCACCGACTCATCCTTCTTCTGTTCTGCTTGTGCTGTCGCCACTGCTGCCTCTGCGTGCGTGCGCTCGCTCTTTGCAGCCTGCTCTGTGTCACCACTCCCCTTCTGCGCTGCGTCATTGGCGGCCGCCTTGTTCTTGCCGCGCTTTCGGTTCTTGCGGTTGCGCTTCTTCTTCGCAGGGCCCTGGAGCATCAAGGACCAACAATGAAAGTGAGGGCATCAGTCGTAACGCGGCAATCGTGACACGAGTGAAGCGTCACGCCAGGCGATCAACACACACGCCTTGCGTGTGTAGGCGCACGCAGACACAAATGTACGCAGACACAAAGGTACGCAGACACACACACACACGCACACACATACACACACGAGTACGCAAACACACACCCATGTCGCACACCACAAACGCACACATACGCACGCACACCTTCTTTGGCTCAGCGTTGAGGTGCTTGTCGCTGCCGTGGGCCTCCACATCCAGCATGTATGCGAGGGCCAGCACGTGCAGATCGGTTGCGGAGAGCGCTCGGAGATCACCCGTCTTCTTGGCAAAGCTGGACATGGCAGCAATGGCGGCTGGGGAAGGGTTGCGCACCTCCAGCTCAAACGGCAGCATCTTCAGACGCCGGCGTGCCTCCTCGTCACGGATCTCCGCCAACACCTCCGGCACCGTCACGACACGCTCTGCAAGGCGATACAGCGGCGCGTTCTTGATGAAGGCGGCTGTATCCGCAACGAGTACGGAGCAGTGGGCTGTGTCCTTCTGGGGCTTGGACTTGTGGCGTCCACTCT